AATTTATTGTTATTAATATTAAAAGATTATATTCCATTTAATAAGTAAGTCATTAATATATCATTTCCACAGAATCAGCTTTTATATAAGATATATGTGAGAAATTAAATAAACATTGTATTTTAGATTAAAAGAATTTTTGTTATTTTAAATAAAGGAAATTAAGGAAAAATAAATTAAGGAAAAAAACTCAAACATAATTCAAAATTTTAAAGAATTCAAAATACGTTAACTTGCCATAAATTATTATAATGAATAAAAATTTATTAAAACAATTTATCATATATATATATATAGCTGCATTAAAAATAAAATGTAAGAATATAAATTTATTAATATTAATCTTCCGATATGCTTATTTTCCTGTTTGTTGTCATAAGTTAAGACATTATCGTGGAAATGTAAAAATAAACTTTCTAAAGTAATTAAAACATTTCAATAATCATATAAAAGTCGAATAATATTTGTTATTAATATATATAAGTATTCAATTGAGATGAATATAATATAAATTAATTTAAAATTAAATTACTCAAAATGGTAAAAACAATAAATGCGAAGGTAGATAATTAATTTTCTTAACTATAAAAATTAAATTGAATATTCTTCGTTAAATTTCGTATTGCTTAACATTGAAATTCAGAAGAGAAATTATTGAAACTATATGTTATTATTTAAATATTATTATACACATACATAATAAATAAGTAATTTTCTTTCTAATACATAAATAAATGAATTATTTTAATATTGCAGTATGTATTCTCTTACTACATTGATTTTTTTTTTTTATTATTAATAAAAAATTTTCAGTCGCGAAATTTTTGTCTACCATGTATAATATACATACTATATTCTAAATATAGTGAAGCAAATATTGTTTTTAAAACGCTAATTTTTTTTTTTAACAGAAAACGGAAAATTATTCTTACTTAAATCAAAAAGTATTTTAAAATTATCGGGGAATCGATTTTACTATTTTATACAATTCTATTTTTTTTTTTTTTTTTTTTTTTGGAAGTCTAAAAGGATTTATTAAAAAGTATTGATAAAATAATATAATTGAATATTCCACTTCAATTTAAGCTTACATAGCTATAAATTGTGATAGTCAGAATGGTAAAAAGCAGGTATAAAAGTTTGAAAAAGAAATAATAGATTATTTAAACGACATTCGCTTTATGTTTCATACACCTAAAAGTTTTTATTACAGATGGTATAGCAAATACTACGTATAATCATTAATTTTTCTACGCTACCACAAGCAAATATGAAAAAAATGTGTATCAAGTACTTATTCATTTGAAATAAAAATAATTAATTCCTTCAACTTAATGCATTATTGTAAGGTTAAGTTTTCCAACTTTTTATGGCTAATATTATACTTATAATAACGATTGACTACCAATAAAAAAATACTTTAAAAAACGATAAACCCTATATATTTTTAATATACTTTATCCTTCGTCAAACTTCGCGAATGTGTATAAACTTATGTAAAGTATTTTGCTTTCATTAGTTCATATACATCGATGCACGAGTTTTCCTCTCATAGTAACTTAGTATTGCATTCACGAAAACTGGCAAATACGATAAAGATGCCACTAAAAGAACTGTAAAGTTTATATTAGTGATATTTCCTACCAATTTTTATTTGTCAGTTACAAGCCTTATAAATCAATGTTAACTCGTATCGACTTAAATTAGTTTTTATTTACGATTCCAAGGCCTATCTTATATTTGAATGTGCTAATAGGAAAAAATTTCAAATGACTTTAATTTCGAATATGAATGTTTAACCTTTTATTTGAAAAACAAAAAAAAAAAAGAAAAAAAAAAAGATCTAATTTACAGAATTAATTTTGTATATTATGATTAATGATCGATTATCAATTTTCAAAATATACATTTCTTTTTTGTAAATGTTAAAGCTAGAGGAAAAATGATAATTACTAATATTATAATAGTTTATTTATATGTTAAAAAAAAAATAAAAATAAAAACTATTATTTATTCATTAATAATGAATAACAAAGTAACAAACAATAGTTAATAAAGCAATATAGATAATACAAATAATATTAAGTTAATATTAAGTAATAATTAAGGTAATATTAAGTAGCATCAAGAAATAAATGTTATGAAACGTTTGAAAAGCGGTTGAGAGACTTTTCGCGTGTAATTATGAAAATATAAAATGTTTTTCAATTTTATCTATTCGATGTATACGACTATACAACATATGCAATAACTAACTAACTAACAATGCTAGACGTAGTTGAGGCGTTAAACGAGATTCCAACATTTAACGACAAAAGCAACGCAGCTTTTATTGCCAAGATCCTCATTGCGGCTCATTCAGTCTCTTATCACCTTTCTTTTCTCCATTCACTCTTATTCTGATTATTCTCTATTTGTCATAAATCGCCATGCACAATAATTCTATATTCAAATAATTCTTTAAACTAAGAGATGAAATAAAATGTTCGAATCGATATATTTTCTATTGGATAGTAAGTAATTCTATTGGATTTTGACAAATAAATTTATTTTGAATAGTGAAATAATAAATGGAATATCTACATAAATTTTAGATTTTCTTATTAAATTTAAAACATTATTATTTATGTAATTAAAAAATTGCATATTTTTTGTTATTAAATGATTAAGATTAACAATAGTTAAAAATAATTTTTTAATTCTAAATATTATTTCAAATATACATATATATATATATATATATATATATATATATATATATATATATATATTTTTCTGTTTAATATAATTTTCGTATTAATATTAATATAATGTTCGTATTAATAATTAATGAGAAATATAGATTTATTAAAATATTAAAGGTATTTGAAAATTTCCTTAAAATTAAAAAATATTTTACTTCGACAAAATCTGTTAAAATATTAAATAATACAGAAAAAACGAAAACATATATTTATCGTATAATTCCATCTTAATATTCCACAATTATCTTTTAATAAATATACTTATTGTATTGTTAATTGTATAAAAACTGCCTTTTTTATGAATAAATTCATAAAACTTTTTGTTTGTAATGAAATCGCCAATTATTTTTCAGCACTTCTTTAAGATTCGTATATATTTCAACCAAATTAACGTCGACATAATGCGATAAAAGTTTTAATATTAATTTAGTCTTAAATCTTCTGTAAAATTATATTAATAAAATTAAAGTAAATCGAATCTGAATTTGTTAAAAAGTTAGTTTATAAATTCATACTAATTTCTTATACTAACTTTTCCTCTTACATGCATTTAGAGCAACACGATAGTCAACGATGATGCAATAAAGCATATGGAAATATAATAATATAATGAAAAATATTTGCTATTATAGAAATCTATTGATTATTAAATTATCGAATTGCTTTAATAAATCATATATAAATTATAGACTGTGATGAAACATTCTGAATTCCACATCCAGATAATTCATATTATAAACTAATTTATTAATGTTTTATGATCAGCAATTGAAACAATGAAAAATGAATATTGGTATGTTAGTTATAAACTGCAATGTTTAAAAAATGTACGTAAATTATAAAGACAATCGATCATAAATTTCATGTTTAATAAGAGATAAAATATACTCGAATAAATATAGACTTATAATTACTCGATATCATGTAAGGTTTTATCTTACACGTTATACATAAATTATAATATCCAACATTATTATGTACGATAGATAAATAGATCTCTATTGATTTAGGCAGAATGTGTATTCTGAAAACAATATATATTGTCATGAGATAATCGTTTTAAGTTATACTTGATAGTTGAATAGGTTTGTCATTTACATTAGCAAGTTGACATAAAATTATATACATTATGTACATTTATATATATATATATATATATATATATACACATACATACATATAGGGTTAATATATAAAAAAAAGGTCAATATGCTAAAAATAAACAATTATATATATATATATATATATATATATATCTAGAATTTTTATTTAATTTTATCAAAATTGAATAAATGAATTTCTATTTTATGAAAGTATATTAACGTTAATAACTGCTATCCGTTTATTATACATAACTGATCTATGGAATAACGAATAAGGTTTCTTGGAATTTATTATATTAAATAATTGTTAAATTAATTTCTTCGTAGAATATATTTATAATTGTTAAATTTTATTATAAGAAGGTTCTGGATACCTTCAGAGTCACAAGACTTTTTATATTTCAATATATGTAAGGATGTGGATCTATAAAAACAGTTACTTTCATTACGAATATAAATTATAAATTTGGAAAGACAATACTTTTTATGAATCCAAATATGACCAAATTCGTTATTTTAAATATTAAAATAAATATTTTATGCATTTATTAATAAGAAAAAATACTATTTCTAAGCAATATTTTTAACGCTTAATAATATATAACAATTAATAGTAAGCATAAGAGATTATATTTTTCCTAAGTATCATTTCAAATAGAAAAGCATTACATTTGTCGTTAAATGAATACTAATTAACAAAAGTATTGTTAAAATGTACAGTCGAATCGTTATTAAATAAAACAATACGATCGAATCTTTATTAAGAAACAATTACAACTGAATTTGCTAGAATAAAAAATATCAAGTAATAAACAATAAATTCATATACTAATTTTAACGGACGTATTATTTCTTATATGTTATATTTTTGTAAATAATTATCGCAATGCGATTACGTATATACATAATACTTCAATATTCACTTGAATTAGAATATTAAAAGTAACATGCAGAGGCTATATGTCTCGCTGTCGCAGAACAAATTAAAAAAAATGCTTCGACTATAATGAAAAATGAGAATAATAACAACGCAAATGTCCTGGTTGCGCTCTCATTATTAGACAAATAATAATGGCCGCAACGATGCATGAAGCCATAAAGGCTCTCAATCACATCCCTAACACTCCATCCGCTCTTCGTTGCTTTGTTCCAGAAGCGGCGGCGCAGGTGGACGTCTGGCAGCCCCGCGGATGTCACTGCTGGGACGCCCGGTGAACTATCGGGCGACTCGTCGCGATGCCCGCTACCGGCGACTCCAAGCCCGCGTCTACAATTTCCTCGAGCGTCCCCGCGGCGCTTACGCTGTCACATACCACATGATCGTGTAAGTATTGCCGTTATTTTAACACACATTGCCTGATCATTGGCTTCCTTTATCCTTTACGCTGCCCGATAATTACAAACTGACAATGACAGACCGAATGATGGTTATTTTAGCAATGGTGGGGTGAGCGCGCATTCGACTATCTAAAAGTCACTAACTTTTATTTCGTTTCATTGGCTTTCTTTTATCCTGTCTAGGCAGATGATACATGGCGGGTTGATGCAAGGTAAGTAGTTTGTTAAAAAAATTTCCCGTATTCTCATCCAAACTATGGTCAACTTTTTTAATGATTTGTAGCTGGGAACTTCAGGCGTACACCTACGGGAAATCTATAGTACAAATTTTTCGATATTACCAAAGTAGTTTAATAAATTGTTGAATATGAATTTATTTCGCACAAATTTTTTTATTATTTTTTTTTCGTTTTTTGTTTTCGTTTGTTTTTTGTTTTTTGTTTGCTATTTGTACAGAACGAATGGATAAATTATGAATATAGAATATGGCTAGTGGCTATATTACTTCGTTGAAAATCAACCGAACATTACTTTAACATTAGAGAATCTTTTCTCACAAAGATATCATTTTTCTTTAAGTTAATCGTATTTACATAATTTGTTGTCGTATTGAAATTTCTAACATAGATGTTGCGCATTTGCTTTTCCATTTGACAAATAAACAATCGTTTAATTTGCATTTAATTTACAAATTTTCTACAATACTGAAATTTACTTCGTTACGCTTATATAAAGAAAGTATTTATGATTTTGACATTTATTTTATTAATAAAGCAGCTTCCTTTATATTTTTGAATATGAAAAGCATTTTATTTAAAATTTTTCAATTCAACAAGAATGAATGAGATTCAGCATTGAAAATGAGTGTTGTTTATTATACGATCCACGGTAAATTTTTTTTTTTTTTCCACTTTTTTTTATGCGCGCTCAGTGCATACATGTACAGAGCATAAATAAATATATGAGAATGAAATTTAATAATATTCCCGTAAGGATAGCAGCAACAAAACTACATTCACGTTCTAAAAGTTTCATCGCATAACTCATAATAGATTTATTAAAAAACTTTTATTTCAAGAATCATGATTTTATAAATTAGATGTATAAATCCATCCCATTGACCTAAACCATAGAAAACCTAAAAATCTAGTTCATATTTCACAAAAGTTAAATATCCGTATTCTAAAGTACAGTTAAAAAATTTTTATTTATTGTTAAAGAAAATGTTAATGGTCTGAAAACTAATATCACAGATAAACATAAGTTCAGCTAGTCAATTACAAATAACCAATTAAAATTACTTCTTTTATTAAAATACATTAACAAATTTATTACTATAATGAATAAAAATGTAAGATACTTTGAGTATTTTATTTTATTATATTATTATATATAAAATTTTTGATAAGATGATATTCGATATGGGATGCTACTGTGGACATTTAATAAAATAAGAAATTGAGGTTAAATAAACTTAAAAATATACTTAGAGTATATTAATTATATATATTAATTTTACATATCAATCTACCATTCATTTAAATATACCAAAAATATTCAAATAATATATGCAATAAATCTAAATCGAGTAATAATAAATTTTAACGAATACTCTGTCCTCTATTATGAATTAATGCTTACATATTTTTATAATAAATTTCTTATTCATGATTTTCTCGTTCTCCTGAAAAATCATATAAACAAAAGTTATCTAATAGATTGATGACTCGTAGAAAAAAGTCATCTATTATAGATAATATAGTTCATATGATTCATATTATTCGGTTGTAGTTCAAATTCTTAAGATGCAATTGACGAAATCATGGGCTCTTGAGGAGTATTCTTAATCTCTATGAGTGGTTATCGCTAAATAAAACTGTTAACTCACTGATGGTCAGTGACTGTCCCCAATCCTGCAATAAAAGAAGCCAATCATTCCTATTTCTATTTCTACAATTTAAGCTTATTATTCACCAAAACAATCTTTGCCGCAGGTAAAAAATTTCAGATCTCTCGTACTTAGTAACATCTTAATATCATATCTGCTACATTCGAATAAACATACGAATATAAAAATTCTACAAAAAAACAAGATAAAAAATTAATTGAACAATGACCAATATAAAAAAAAAAACAAAGTGTTTAAAAAAATCTTTGTATTAATTATAAGTGATGTAACATTTATTTTTCCTTTTTTCACTACCAGTCAAACGACTTGAAATGAAATTCATCTAATAGTATAGATTTGAGCGCTGAATTTGAAAATGACTTGTTTGCAATATATATTTGAAATTTATCTATTTGCACATAAACACATTATCTTCATATAATATAATGAAAATAATCTTATATTTTCACATGAAAACTATCTAAAAGTATTTAGATGTTTTGAATATATAATAAAGTATTAGCAAATATAATATCAAGTTTTTCCTTAAACTAAAATGCTTTAAATATAAATTATTTTCTAATAATTTCTTCATACGCTTAATACTTAAAAACGATAATTAATAATAATTTAAGAATACTATGATATAACTTATTATTATAATACATAATGAAGAATAATACCGCTGATAAATTCAAAGTAACCTATGCCAAATTATAGCCTTTTAATTTTCAAAATCAAATATACTATCAAAATATTATTTCATTATTTATAAATAATAATTAAAAAAATACAAATAATCTCGTGTCTTATGTTATATGATTATTTTCTACTTGTTACTTAATATTATTGAACCTAGATTTCTATGAGCGAAATTCATTTGTAGTTCTGATATTTATTCAGAAAATTTCACGATCATATAACATTGTATCGTTAACATTTTAATCAATATTTGGAATTTTTCACTGCAAACTTTATTATGCAAATGTGTTATTTTACATATCGTAATATAAAAATTAATTACTTAATACTGCTTTTTCTAAATATAAATTATCGAAAATTATAAACGTACTTTCTTCATTTTTCATTAAAGTAATACTATTTGAGGGAATTATCTATTCCCATTCCATTCTATTTCTAATAAAATAATTCAAAAACATTTAATTAATATTTTTTATCAAATATCATATTTCTATAGATAATATCTTGGCAATAATATTTTACAAATATATATCATTATATATGTAATAAAAAAATATGTACTAATTTATATGTGTGTGTGTGTGTGTGTGTGTGCGCGCGCGTGTGTATTTACGTATATTAGGTTTAAATTGAATTCAACCATATAATTTACATAAACTATTGCCATATTTTTCCTTCTCATTCGAATCGTTCAATAAATTCCTATTATTAGTACGTAAATATAGAAATATATATACGACGTTTTAACAAAAATGTAAAGTCATATACGTAGCCTCGGCAAAATTTATCTTTGCACTCATTGTGGTTGTATAAAAGATTCGTTGAAACTTCGCTCATTGCTATTTACTTACTAGGTCATCTCTATACATATACACACATCCGAAAAAGTTGTGTTTGGAGATTTATGTAGATGTAGCATTATCAAATAAAAATTAAATTCATAGCACAAGTTTATTTTGTTAACTATTTCAAGCTTAAAAAAAATTGTAAAAAATTATTCTTTAACAACAAATCTTATAGAAAAGTCTTTTATAGAGTAATAGGTAAGATTAATATTGGAATAACTTTATAAAGAATTAGTTTTTGTATATAAGATTGTTTACTGTATTTTCTCTTTACCTAATGAAACAATTATTTTAATACACAGAAATGATATTCATCGAGATATTCAAAGCATTTTCAACGACATTTGAAAAAAAGTAGTGTGCAATTGAATAATTCATTTTAGATAGACATTAACGAATTTCATTAAATTTTGATAATTTTTTCATTTCAAAATAATACAGATCATTGATTTGTTCATACACGTAGTTAAGATATAAAACTTGACTAAAACGATAATGCGTAACCTGCGCAATAACATTAAATATTTAAACCTAGTTTATGATAAAATAAAGTCAACATACATAAGATTTCGTTTAAGTATAAAAAAAAATAAAAAAGAAAAAAAAAAGAAAAAAAAAAGAAAAAAAAAGTAAAGAAAAGAGAAAGAAAAGGGAGACAAATGCGATTGGCCATGGCGATTTTCAAACGAACGAACTATACGTTTCGGAGAATCAATTTATCGTTCTTACGCATCCAAATCGAGAAGAGGTCGCGATAAATCGTAGTGCGTACAACGGACTTTAGTAGCTCTGCAGTCTATTACATATTTAGTCATCCGTAGAATTTTTCAAGTGACGTAAACTTAAAGACTCGTTCCGCGTATTATAACTTATAATAATTATCGTTATTTATCGAATATTACGAGATCGCAGAACTGCCAGAAATGTGCACTGCCCATCATAAATCGTAAATCATGGTGTCCATTATCCTTTTTCACATACGAAACCCGTTAATTATTAAATCTACGTTTTTAAATCCTCATTTTTTACATTACTACGTGTGCGCATGTGTATATGCGAGAGATAGAGACAGAGAGATAGATAGATAGATAGATAGATAGATAGATAGATAGATAGATAGATAGAGAGAGAGAGAGAGAGAGAGAAAGCATGCATGTATATTAATAAAAATTTTTCTCCTGTTTATGTAATTTTTATATAATTTTTCATGCAAAGCTTGCGCTGAACTCGTTCTTAACATCTTCTCTTACACTTGATATCGAAGATGTTCTAAGAAAATAAATCTTATTGTAGTAAAAATATTCGCTTTAAGAAGAACAAAGTTTTTTTATGTAGCCTAATAAAATTATTTTACGTTATTTTTACGAATAAATCAGTATTTTGAAATCTAATACTAATCAGTATAATAATTCTTATATATTGCAATATAATAATAAATTCCTTAATATTATGTTGTAAGTATATTAATTAATATCGATATAATGTTATATATAATGACATATGATATATGCACAATTCTTGGTAAAAATCATTTAATTATTCTATATAGTCATTTCTAAATAAATAGTATATTTTAAGAGTTTATTGTCAAAGAAATTATGTCGAAAACAGCAGTAAGCACTTTTGTACAACTACAAACTTTTTTTTTAATTCTTCGTCAATTGTTTTTAGTAAATAATTACATAAAAAATTCGTCATTACTATTTATAGTGAAATAATTTTAATTTTTATGCTTGTTTTGTAAATGCTAACTTCGATAATGTTTCTTATCTATTGTAAAAGCATGAATCATACAAACAACAAAATATAAACTCACTATTCCACGTTTATCAAAGATTAAAAAAAACTTTTTATCCTTATTATAAATCAATATACATGTATTTATTATTGTGACTAAATTAAAAGACAACCATTTCCCATTATTCTATATATTTAAAAAGATCGTTAAAGAAATTTTAATTCAATAATCTAAAAACTGATTATGGATGTCTTTCAGAAGTGAAAATTGGTAATGTGCAAGTAACAATTTATAATCACTACATAATTTTTATTATATTTATTATATTGTTTTATAATATTATAAAATTATATTTTGACAAATAATATTAATTATAAATTATAAATAAAATAATTTGCCTACAATTTTGAAAACATATGTTTCATAGAAACGTTATTTATAAAATTTAATGGTATACTTTTTCATACTGGTTAAAAGGATGACAAAATAAGTTTACATTAAAATTTATAGAAATTTATAGAAAATTATTATGTATAAGTTTCCAAATAATCTAATGCTTAAAGACTCTATGCAAAATTAATTGAAAGAAAAAACTTTTATTATTGAGTTTAAAAAATGTCGAAATGACCCAATTTTGTTCAAATAGAAGTCGTCGATTTTAAATTGGGAGATTTGTCTGATACGGTCTTTTTACAATTACTTTTTATAATTATACTATTACAATTAAAAAATTCATGCCAATAACAGTTTTTTTTCCAAAGTATTAATTACAAATCATGATAATATTTAATTTTCAATTTATCATAAGAAATCCTTGTGTTGCTTAACTTCAAAATAACAAAATATTTTATAAATTCGCTTCATTCATTCAGTTTGTAATCAATGGTATTATTTCAATTTTTTAATTAAATTTAAACCATATATATATATATATATATATATATATATATCAGTTCACATTTTTCCAGCGATTATATAGTTTATTTTTCTCAATATAATTTACTTTCGTATTTTATTTATTATTGTCAGCTTACTAGAATGTCGAATTTACTTACGATAAAACTTATATTTATCGAAATATATTCATTCACAAGTAAATTCCGTCGTCTATGTATGTATAAAAATTGTACTTTCTATAATAACGATATTTATTTATAGGAAAGAATAAATTTTAACTTTTCTATAAATATAAATACATGTAATCTATAATAAGATAACAATTCTACGGAGTAAATGGATTTTCATTCATTCAAATATTATTCGTAATACTTGTTAATTAACAATCTTTAAACAGAGAAATCAATAGAGTCTTTGTTACTCACACCGATAAAAATGTACGTAGAATCGAAAAAATAAAAAAAAAAGTACGATAAAAAGGCTAGAGAAAGAGGTGAAGGTGACGGTAGAGAGTTTAACGTAAAGGGATGCTTTGACGTTCTAATGACAATTAACCTCTTTGACAATTTCATTAGCTCGAATGATTGAGTTTTTGATATCTGACGGATAAATACTCAATCGAAGATCACTTTGATTGCCTCAAATTTGATAGAATATAACTGTAGTAGCGATCGTTACGCTTGTATGTCGAAAACCGGCACTTTTGATTTAGGAAGCGATTGCGTACTTCTGATGTTTATACGAGTAGGAAAATATTGACTTTAAGCTTTTATAATGGTAAAGTCTTGTCGTTGACGCGATTGTTAAATTTTCATTACTGACTTTAAGCTCTACTTTTATCACCTTATTTCAATCAAATACATTTTTTATTCAAAAATAATTCGAGAGCATTTTCTTTTAATAGATTGCACATTTCGCTAACAAAAATCTATTATTAAAATGTCTGATCATTTTTATAGGTAGATTATTTTTATCGACAATGTCGGTATAAGATAAATATTTAAACAATATTTGTACGAAGCGTAAGTTAGGTAAATAAGTTAGGTATATTTCGATTTAAATAATTGCAATTCATAGAAACTATTCATATTTTTCGTAACAACATATAAACTCTATTTCTAAATAAATTTTTATATGTGTATAGATGATTTTACTTATAAAACTTTTATATTTAATAATTAGTTGGAAAAAATACTTTTAATATGTTTATTACTAGTCTTAAAATAGAGTATAAAAATTTATTTAAATGTGTATTATACTTTTGAATGCAAAGATTCAATTGCTGATAGATGTATTCTCTTTAAAGTCTATTTAATATTCTTATTTTATTTGTGTTGATTATTTAATAATTATTATTATAAAATATATTAAATATGTAAAAAGAAAAAAGAAAAAAAGAAAAATAATGAAATAAATATAATGCCGTTGCAAGAAAAATTTAATTGTTTTTTTTTTATGATACTATCATTTGGGTCTTTCAGAGTCGTTGTCTTGTGAATATTCGATGCTGAGCAATAAAAATAACAGAGAAAACAATTAAACTTACTCTACCTAACCTACTATACCTAAATAAGAAATAAAAAATTGTCTATTATGGAAATATTTTATACTGAGTAAACATTGGTAGTAAGTGTTAACCAGCACATCAATAAATTAATCTTTTTTTATTCGGATTGACTTTAACTCTCTTAAGCCTATTTAATATGAGAATCAACTGTATAGAAAAGACGATTAGCATCTATTATTAGAATAATAAGGAATGTTTGAAATAACTGTTAAGAATTGACAGTTATAGTACAAATTCGTACCAGAATCAAATCAAATACACACATAATAAAATCTGGCACACGATTCGTTTTATTTTTTAATTTGTCTAATAAAGTACGAAGTACTGTCCCATCGATCAATAATTGGAGATCCACAGTATGCATGCCATATAGAATAATACATATGCATAATAAATTTATGTAGTTGTAAAATTCCAGCTGAAAATCTTTTAATGTAGATACAAGAGGGGAAAAAAGAACAAAAATTGCAAAGACAAAAACATAATACAAAAAAAGATCCATCTTATATATGTGTTCAAATATTTGCAAGTATTTAATTATTTTATTATTTTAAAACCATAGGATTTAAAACTATTGGAAGTGTTGTAATTATTTTTGTGGACGAGCCATCATTTTAGCTATCATTCTTAATTTATAATTCAATCATTCATTAAAAAGCTTGAATTACTCATTAATAAAATAATTAATTACTAATTATGTACAATTTCATATGTCATCAATATTTTTAAATTAAGTACTAATAACTTATTTTACCTATACCTTAAATGATTGATTTACGTAATAAACAATTATTTAGAAAATCTTGAATAATTCAGTAAGACAATTATATCGTGGATAATAATATTCATGTGAATGAACGTTTAATCAATAACAAACAAAGAATATTTAATTTATGTTTGATACTGTAAGGATGAATAGTACGATTTCTTTGCGTATATTTCTCTCTCTCTCTCTCTCTCTCTCTCTCTCTCTCTCTCTCTTCACGTTATATCTTTGTTATTTCAGATTTTGTATGGTCTTTACGTGCCTAGTACTCTCGGTGTTTAGTACGATAGACGAGTACGAAAAAGAGGCCGGGGTTCTCCTTTTTTACATGGAAATGGTCGTAGTCATCTGGTTTACTGCCGAGTTCTTTTTTAGGTAATTATATATTGAGTATGAAAGAAATCTATCAAGCAATTAAATTTTATCATAGTTGTTGTCAAAACCTTCATACTGAGCTTTGTGATTTTCAGGTTATGGTCTTCAGGATGTCGTTCCAGGTATCAAACTGCTATCGGTCGCTTAAAGTTTCTTCGGAGACCTTTCTGTATAATCGGTAAGTATCACTGTATTATAATTAATATGTTTAATGTTAGTTCCCATTTAATGTAAGTTCACTATTCGTTGAAACATTTCATACGTCACATCTTCCAAATTTTATTTCTTTTCTTTCTATTCATATTAGAAAATAATCATAAATAAGTTTATCATTATAAAAAACATTATTTAAATCCGTCTGGTCTTTCTTCAAAAACTTTAATATTTGTCAATTTAACTTATTCCTTCATCAGAAATTTTCATAAATTTCTACAAATGATGTATAAATAATGACTTGTTTACCGTATTTGTAATGATCATTTTTTTATTACAAAATAATTTTAAAATATAAAACAATTATTTACAAAGTGCGAGCGGTATTTCATTCATAAAATAATGATAAAATTATGAATAAAATTAAAAATAAAAAATTGAAAATTATAGTGACAATAGTTCAACAATATTACTATTATAATTTTTCAACATGTCGCATGGTATATAAACTATAAATTATATAAACTATTAATTTTAAATTACACATTATTTTCTCATATAAAGTATATTTCTTGTTAATATTTATTTGAACGTATATTTAACCATTATAAATATTTATTTTCTACAACGTCTCCTATTGACTAATTTATAAGTAAATGGATTGTGAAATTCTTAAAAATATTTGTACATAAATTGTCGGAAAGCATCATTGTAATAATAGAATATTAAACATTAATGCATACATAATTATATGAAAAGTTTGTAATTAAAATTATTTTTTTTTAATTTTACAGTAATAATAAATGGAAAAAAGATTTTTATGTATAAAACGCTTGTAATAATTACTTATTTTCATCTATAATGAAACATTATAATTCATAATAATTATATGTCCATTATTTATAATTAAATCTAAAATAATATATTTAAAAAAATGTAATAAATTATAATGAAGTAGTAAAAATTATGTGATAAGACTTTCTTTTATGATAATAAATGCTCAGCATACGGGAGCGCTAAAATCAGGATGTTTTTCCTTTTCCGCTAAGAGTTTTAGAAAGTCATTAAATGTATCTACATCTAAATATTGGTAAAAATCAAGGAATTTATTTAGTCACTTTATATTAGCACTCTAAACGAGTTTCTTATCGTTTTGACCTTTCCTTTTGGGTGTGTACCATTTGCAATATCCTGATATTCAGCCAAGAAATCCAACCTCTGAAACGTCGAAGGTGTGGAAATTAGTCATTTTGTTTAAAGCACAATACAAGTTTAAGATCTGCTCCATTGATTTAAATTTATGTCTCTTTAAGTGTGAAAAAATAATATGAACACAAAGAACATATTTGGTATAAATATAAGTAAATGAAAATGTAACGATTGCAATTTTAGTAAATAAATGACAATAATAGAAGTAATGCTGCTATTATGGTATTGACGATGGCGACACGAATTAATTAATATAAACAATAATAATAATAGTAGCGATGACAGTAATGAAAATAATATAATTTTTTTAATAGAAAAAATTATTCATTGATAAAAATTATGTATATATATATATATATATATATATGAGAATGTAGACAATAATAATTATTGAAAAAGTTAAAATGTTTCATTTAAAAATAAATAATTTTAAACATATACAACAAGATATAAACCTATTATATGTTGAATATCATAGTTTTATTTACAATTAGATCAAAAGGTAATTAATTTCATGAAAAGCTGCATGAAACTTCAATGGCGCCATTTATCTTTGATTCACTCAATAATCTTTATAATCGGATTTAGGAAAATTTATAATTTGCATTATAATAATTATAATATTAATAATAAATTAAAACAATACGGGTATTAAACGATTGAAAATTTTGAAGACTTGATGACAAAAGAGGATAAAATTTATAAATATATAAATACAAAAATTATAAGTAATTTTTATCATAAAAAATTATATCTATAAAATTAGTATATTATTTACAATAATAGTCGACATTTGATAAATAAATAATTCCACTTTGTTATAAATTAAGAAAATTTTTATTACTTACAAGCTTACAATAATTTATAATTATTAATAACAACTGTTAAAAGAATTTAATTAAACAATGGAAATTATGGTTTTGTGCAAATAGTAAATAAATCTGAATATAATATTTTAAAACGTTCCCTTTTCCAATATAAGATTTCGATATTTGTCAGTAAAACACAAAGAGTAGTAATTGAATATCAAGAAATATATCCGAATATATTATTATTTTTTTTTTTTTCATTTAAATAAAGTAAATTAAAATTTTTGCATTTTAACTAGTACAATTATGAATTTAATTTTATACTTAATACAGCATTCACGGACGCTTTTATAGATTTCAAATTGTATGAATGCATAAATCGAATTATTACATATTTTAAAATATAATTTTCAATGCAATTATTTATTCAATTTTCATATAAGCATACTTTAATTCCACTATTTATAATTATTTTTAAAATTAAATTAGCTGTGGTAAATGAAAACATTTTTTATATTAATATAATAATGAATTAAAAAAAATAATTTCAATTAATATTAAGCTAAATATATCTGAATGTATTATAATAATCATAATTTATATTACTTTAGATCATAGTAATTAAGAATTTAAACTCACGATAAATCATAACTTTAATAAAATGGTCAATTTGAATAAATACTAACATATTAATTTATAATTTTTATTATGTTTTTATTGATTAATTAATATGAATAAAATTTGATTAAATAGAATAATTAAATCGCTGTTTGTGTTCTAGTAATATATATATATATATATATATATATGTATACTGTGTATATTCATTAGACATTGGTACATTATTGCTTAAATTTCTGTTTATCAATAGTACTTATTTAATTATATATCAATTAACAATTCTTTAAACACAAATTTACATAAATTAGAGTTACATAAATTATACTGATTTAAAAGATATTATTATTGTTAAATTATTTATCAGATAATTGTTCAATAATTATAACACCAATCATTATTTCAATTTAATTTATTCATTCAAAATGGTACGATAAGTTTAAAAATTCAATAATTTAATTTATATTTTATTATATCTATTTATTAATTCCTTCAATTTTTCGATTTATTAATTTATTAATTATTTGAAAATAATTGTTAATTAATATTTAAGCTCATTAATTTATTTGTTTAATTTTACCCATTTTTTTTTTTTTTTTTTTTAATATATTATATCTAACTAAAACTTCTATATATTATTATTAATACGCATTATTTAATATCCCATATAAATTCCGTCATTATCAATATTCAGTTTCATTTAACAATTTTATTCATAATAATTGATTCAAGTGAATTTAAATATTGAATTATATCACAATTATTTTTAACTTATATAAAAACTTCACTTATATGTATTATCAATTATACAAAAATCAATAATTTTCTAAAGTAATTAAACGATTATACTGTGTTCTAAAATTATTTCTAAAATCTGAATTATTTACTTTTTCAATAAACTAATTATAGTATTTGGAAAAATTAATATTTACCTCTTGAAATTTATCGCTTATTAATATATAATCTAAATATACTCTAATTTTATATAAACCTAATACTTTAATTATTACTTATATTAATTATATTGTATTAATATAATTTATTACTATCTCTATATTAAAGTAGTAGAAAAGGAGTTTGAATAATAACTCGATACTAAGTATGAGTTACACTTAATTGTTAAGAAGTAAATAATTTTTTTAAAGTGGTAATTAATAATATTTCAATTTATGAATGTTCTTTAATTATCTAATTTATTATTAAAAAATTATACCATTGAGTACTCTTATAACCTAAGAATTCATTAATTGCTAAATAAATGTTTTAATAAACAAATTAGAAAATAAGCAATTTCCTAAATTACGTATCATTGTATACTTTTCTTATTGTACAAAATAATTTGAAACGCGTTCAATTGTTTTTCAATTTAAGCAGCAATACTCTTTTACATAATCAATTGAACAATATCTATATAAGAAAAATAAAACTATATTTTCCTTTTTGATGCGGAAATCGATCCTACCACGATTTACTTTTATGGTGGACATCTTTGACATCTCAATATTAATTTCCAGATGGCCTGTCAATACTTATACACTCAATGAATCGCAGTATATACGTGTAATTTTATTAGCCATTTTGTAATGATTATATAATACGATATTATTAGCTTGAGTATTTCAGTTACAACATTATGTAATAAATGCTTTAGAATAGAAAAACGGTATAGAAAAATAAAAAATTTAAAATTATAGTATAGAAATGATTTAATATTTATACTAGAGAAATTTATTTCTTGTATTTCCATAATAACTTGATTTATTCGAAATGAAAACCCAATTAATTTTAACATGACATTTTTTGTAATATACGGTTAACTAATGTTAAAATCTCTGCTTTCAATTTAATTTTAATATTATTTAGTTAATATTATTAAAATAATTTTACTACGGCCAAAAAAATTTTGCATAGAACAGTGCAAAGATCTTAAGTAATTTTATGCTTTATTTTGTATCTTACGTTACTGTATTATTTTTACCAATTTTTTATATCACAAAAAATATTGAGTAACGTTTACTCAGATAAAAATAATAACAAATATGAAGATTAATTACGATTAAGTTCAACGGAATCGTAATAAAATGCAACCACCAAATGCATTGGATATTATTTTTGAGGCTTTAAATATCAATTTACAGTAAATATGTAAATACCGAATTTAATTATCAATTTTTTTTAATTTTTAATTTTCAATGTCTTTATGTTTTTTGTTAAATTTTTTCTTTGAATTTTTATTTTAATGATGTTTCTTACACAATTTACAATATGTCCTAACTAAATTACATTCGGCATCGTTTCTGTATATTTTTAATATTTTGTAAAAAAAAATATTTGAAATTTTGGATTTTCTAATATCGGTTGTAATTCTATTTTTCTTATATATTATAAGAAATATTTGTCATTAATATAAATTTTAATAGAATATATTCAACTTCTCCTTATCTGCAGTATCATTCTTATCTACAATATTCATTTTAATGAACTTTTTAGTAATTATACATTGTAAGTCTGTTAATAAAAACTTTGGATTGTTTAATTATGATATAATTATCTTAAAAAAATGAAATCCTTTCTATTTCGAAAATATTGAATATTATTTATTTTACTATCCTTCTAACTCAATTGATTATACTGAATTTATAAAGTTATGTATTTTGTAGATAATTTTATTATAAAAAAAACTCTTGAAATTCAGCGTCATATAGTTGATAAAGTATCGCGTGAATAATTATTTACTTAATTCAAAAATATTCAAATTGATTTCCTCTGATAATAAAGAAATTGCTTTTACTCTCACGTTTTTACACTGTAATAACTACTAGCGCTACTACTCCAACGATATTTACTTAAATAATCTATTTAAATAATGTGCTGTAAAATTATTATATTTTTAACTAGAATGAGTTGGAAAACCAGAAAGTTATTGTTACTCACAATTATTCAGGATTTATTTAATAACTATTGTTGAAACAGTAATACAATAGCTGTGAAAATGATGCTCATTTATTTTTTAATTTGTTTATATATTTCTAAGATATAGTTCTTACTAAAGCATCGTTGATATAAAAATCATTGTAATAACGACATAATTGGAAATTTATTATTTTGAACTTTACTTAGTTCTTTTTTGCACAAAAAAAAAAAATAGATTATTTTCTTATATTGTTATAATGAATAGTGTTTAAAGTTATAAAATAATATTTAATTCAATTCAACGGACTCTGTTAAGAATTATTCTTTCCCATGTAGTTTTTTCTTATATACGTGATATTTTTTCTTATTTACACTCGTATGTCATAATAAAATATTCAAATGAAAGTGCGTGAATACGTGAATCGTGTTCATTATTCAATTATTGAATATTGTTTGCTTTTGCTCACAAAAAGTAGACATAATAAAATATAACAAATAAAACAATAGTATAACAAATGAGATTAATATAAAATATTAAATTTCTAGGGATGTAGTGTGCTCATTAGGTAGGCTTCTATCTATTCAATGTGAAAGCTGTTACTTTTGAATGGGATTTAAAATTAAACAATTTAGTCTAATTTTCAATAACTCGTTAATTTTCTATAAGGGGAGTATATATAATGTGGGGTGGGTAGTTGAAGTATTGCATCAAGTATTGAGATCAATAAGTTTGTCGCGCGTATTTTAAACGATCCAAACATTAAATAACTTGTCGAATATTTCAATTTTCCTTTTATTCCGAAAACTCTTCACCTTTAATAAGCTCAATTAATAAAATGGTTAATTTGTAAGCAAACGTTTGTATTTCTAGGCAACGTCTAAGGGAATAATGATATGATATGAATTCTTAAAAGCTCCATTATAATAGATACCGAAACCATTAGTCGTCATAAAAATCATAAATATGAGTAATAATAAAATCAACGACATAGGACACATTATTTAGCGCATTATTTTTTTTTAGCAAACGTTAAAAGCTATTTTTAACGTAGTTTATCATTATTATTTCATCACGCAAATATTATTAGTTACTTTAGAAAGTGTCAATACCAATATCGGCATAGAACAATATATATGATCTTAATAATGTTTTATAGATTTACTCAACGGAAATTAAAAAAAAAAAAAAAAAAAAAAATAAATAAAAACATAAAAAAGTTTCGTCTACTTACAGATGTAATAACAATTATCGCGAGCGTTGTCGTGCTCGCAATGCGAAGCAGTGGCCAAGTATTCGCGGCGAGTGCACTTCGGGGTCTTCGCTTCTTCCAGATACTCAGGATGGTGCGGATGGATCGGCGAGGCGGGACCTGGAAGCTTTTGGGGAGTGTCGTATATGCTCATCGACAAGTACGTCATTCTTGATAATTTAATTTTAAAGTTATTTGTTATCTGTTAGCTGGCTGTTGTTTTATTAGTCGCACGCTAATTGTCGAATGCGAAAAGAGACATTTCAAGAGAGTATATTTTTCTTCATAACCGATGAATTTTTTAATTAAACATAAGTAATATTAATGACTGATGTAGTTACATAATGAAATGTAGGATGCTGTATTAGATGAGTACGAACTTAGTACTTATAATAATGCTCCGTTGATTTAACGATTAAGAACGAAGTTATTTGCTTTCTACTTGAAATAAATGTGCAGATCAATCAATGGATATCATTGACATGTAAATATAAAGATAATTAATAAAGGAGCAAATATTTTAATATATAGATTAAATTTGTTCGGAATTCTTTTCACTTTGGAACTTTTAGATATAATGAAATGATAGATATTAAATATTATTTTCATAAATACTGAATCAACGAAATTTCATTTACAAATGTAAATTGGTTATTTATTTATTTATTTATTTATTTATTTATTTATAGAAATACGTCTTTCATGTCTAAAATTTATTAACAAAAAAATGTATGAAAAAAGCAGTTTTTACAAAAGTAAATTAAATAAAGTTCAATGTGTACGTGAATTCGTAGGAAGTCAACACTGTTTCCTTAGCGGCTCAACAGTGGATCAAATTAGAAAGAAAACACTTGAGAATAATAATTCTCAATCAAATAATAATTAATTTATATATCTATTTATACATCTATCAAATCTGTATAATGGTATTTTCGTGAAATTGGTCACAATAAATATATAAATATATACGCAAACATGTAATATTACAAGGAACAAAAACAAAAAAAAAAAAAAAAAAAAAAAAAAAAAAAATAACAGAATGGCATCTAATTTATACTTGTTTCATTTCTTAACACTCGGCGGATATTAAAATGTCATGTTCGTGAATTTATATATCGACTTTCGATACAATATTATAAAAAGTCTTTAACAATAATTTAAATTTTCAAATTATTTGCTTGGCATGTAAATTTGTAATTTTACAATTTCGTATTTTACTAATTTAATCAATCACATTATGATGATTTTGATATTCGAATGTTCACTTTTTAAATTTTACATTATCGGGATAAAATTGAACACAAGATAAAATTAAAATTATTAAATGTCGAATATTGTTCCTCGTATAAGAAAAATATTGCATTTATTTTGGAAAAACTATGAGACTACTGGAGTCAATTTTTTTTTTTTTAATTTTTGTACTTCAACAAAATTATATAATTCAACGTCACAATTCAACAACAAAAATAGACTTAATTTAAATATTTGCAAAATATATAACAATTTCATGCCCCACGTAATTTGACAAAAATTATGATTCCAAGTGTAAGAAAAATGTTGGTTAATAAAAAAATTTGATTTAACCTTAAATTATCCTTTCCCTTAATAATCCACTTAATCTATAACAAACAACTAATAATAAATGTAATAAATTTAATTTCTGAAAAACTATACCCTAATTTCCAACAAATTATATTGAGGTTTATGTTTTGTTAATTACAATTGATTTCCTTCAGAATAATATTTATATTAGAATTCAGAAAAATATTATAAAAAAAAAAAAAAAAAAAAAAAAATAAATATGTGGAAGTTTGCCCAAATTATCTTTCTTACCTGAGACTGTAATTTCTCTGCTCAAAATGAGACTGCTTACTCGTACCTAAATTCTCCATTCCACCTTCCTTTTGTTCTTAGTAGAAGCCCCCCCCCCCCC